CCCTCGGCCGGAACTGTGCCAGTACAGCCGCAGGCTGCCTACCTCTTTGCGGTCCTGCAGACACTCCAGGACTGCCAGGTTGTTGGTCCAGGTGTGCTTGGGGCAAAGGCGGGTCAGGTCGTCCCGGCAGGCCTCCTCCTCTGCCAGCTTCCAACCGGTCGTCCTTCGAGGCTGAGAGGCCCCGGCGGCAGCGGCGACAGGTGCAGAATCCCTACCCGGTGGGTCCACGGCCCTGCCCTCGAGCGGACGGTGCGGCTCGGCCGGGCCGCTCGGAACCCTCAAGCTCAGGGCGGGCACGAAGCTGCAGAGACACACGGACGTAAAAAGCATGAACGGCAGCGTAGAGCGACTGTGAGCCGCCATCTTCACATCACTGTCAAGGTGGTTCTGAAAGCGATGACTCCGTTTCCGGTCAGCACAATGAAGACATCAAACCACTTCCTGTCAATTAATGAAAAATAAAAGCTTTGCCCCGAAATTTTTTTTTTCTTTCTCTCGATTGCGTGGGCTTTATACTGTTACTATTATTACTATAATTATTATGAGTAGTAGAATTAATTAACACGTTTTCAGAATTTTCAATGTTAAAAGTGTCTTAATTTCACATTTAGTTAAGAYCTGGATAAACATGCACAAAGATACACAGAATTTAAAGTATTTAATCTGGATTTAGTCAGTTTGAGAATTGTAAACTTCTGCTCAGGAGACTCACTGTCTCTTATTTTTCTCAGAGAAGTAGAGAACAGGTTTAAGCAATAAATAAAAGTCTAAAAGCACTCTTTTCTGTAGATCGTACCGATTAAAGTTAGAAGAACTCCAATTTAGTGAAAGCTGATTGGTCTGCTGATTGTTTCCAATTTTCCAAACTTAGGAAAAACACTAATCCACTAAACATGTGAGGCAGAAATGCATAATGTAAAGTAAAAACAGGAGACAGAGAAATGTAAACACAACACATGGAAATAAAAGGACTTGTGAAAAAAAAAACAATTTTAAAAATAAATCAAACATTTAAGAG